TCATAAAGAAGGAATTATTTTTATTAAAGCCACCACAGCTTAGTCACACACTCCTCTCAGTCACAAATAAATCAAAGCCATCTAACAGAATTAGATTGCAACTACACCAAATGAAAAGCAGAACAAGTTAGACTGAGAAGGCAAAGAAAATGATCTTTCTACCGCACAGAGGATGATAATCGGCAAAAAAACTATCTTTCAACAATTAACTAACATCTTAGAACAGTGAAACCAATATAACTCTGACTAAGTCAAATTATCAGGGGAATGAAAGACCTAGTCCAGCAAATACCCAGCATTGGAGAGTGCATGTGACATCTATATTACATCGGTTGATCAAAGTCCTTTTTTGTGCATTTGTGAGACATGCTGTCAAAACCTGACGCCTGGATATACAAGCTTGACGTCTGGCATGGACCATCTTTCTACGTCTGTGGACATACACATTAGGTTGGGTATTTGGAAGTCTGGTCCGAACTTATTTTGGATATCTGTGACATACACAAACTAAACACAGAGACGTGTCACCGATGTCTAACTGAGGCCTGTGTCAGACGTTGACAAGGTTGTCCACTGAGCAGTCTTTTTTTGGACGTCTTCTGGATGTTCAATTTGGACATCTATCAGACATCTTCACAAGGTTCAAAATGAAAGTTCATGTGACTCATACACTGGCATATGTTTTAGATGTTTACTGACCTCCAAAAAAGATCCCCAAAAGACATCCAGATACTGAACGTCCGCTAGACATCAGTGGATGTCCAAGCTAAGTCTTCACGTTGCAGTCAGGACAATATTGCTGGGAATACTGTGCTTGTACTTCCTGCGGCCTCACTTTTGGTACCTTACGGCTAATAAGGCAAGAGGTTCTTCCACCATGCTTGTGTTAACACTGGGTGAAGTGTAATATAAGTGTGGTGAGGATGTCTAGTGGATGTCCAAATGTACAGAGGTTGTTCAAGAGTGATGTGTCTGTGTGCTGGGAGGTGACAGATCATTTTTAATTTTAGAGATATTCCACTGATGACATCATTATATCAGTGTATTGATGTACTTTTTCAACTTTGGTTCTTATTACACAAAAAATGCTGTTCAAGTAGATCTATGCAATTATCTGAGAACATCCGTACTCATGGCTGACAGTTAGAAGAAACAGAAAGAAGGCAGACACTAGAGTGTATCAAAGTGCAAACACTGTCAATTACAAAATGAAGTGACTATTTAATAGGTCTGATAGAGTAAAAGTAAAAGTGTGGGTCAGAGTTGATCGGCTGATGCATCTGTAGTCACAATTCCCTCCTTGTCGCTTGCATTATCCCATGATCTAATTTCCATATAAGCCGATTAGTGTGTGTGTTTTCTGTTTTATGCGGAGGGTGCGATAAGTGCAGGATCTGAGTCTCTGAGGTGAAAACTGAGCTTCATCCTGATCGATGTGACCAGTATTAGCATGTGAATCTGCCAACGGGCCTGAACAGTCTACATCAAAACACCACAAGGACTCACAGTCTCCCTGCAGGTCTTTTTATATGTCTTTCTGTATGACTGTGCAAGATGAATTCAAGACTTTAAAATGTTCATAGGTGTTGCAATGAGCCCAACTACAAGTTGGGGACTGAGTTCATGTGTTCAACTATCACAGTGAGAATAGTGGTCTGTGGTGGGCTTGTTTTTAAAACCAGCTATCAAGAATGTCACTCAGTCAATCAGTAATCGAGTCCTTCAGTCAGGCAGCCAATTGCAGTAAAGTCAGTTAGTAAACAAACAACCAGTCAGTAATTTGGACAAACGCTCAGGAAACCAGTCATCTCCTTCTGTCTTCATGACACTCCATCTACATCTGTGGTCAGTAGACAAGAAAGCTGCCATGTTGTAATACACACAAACACACACAAGCCCAAGGCCAGTGCTTTATCTTTGTGACACATTCATAAACCCTGACACGCACACAGACAGTCATATGTACTCTGCCCATCCCCCTTTCACATGCACATTATCACACTGTCCATTCAAACACAAGACAGCTGTGTAGTTGTGTGAGAGAGAAGCAGGTACAAAGGCAGTGAACGAATGCACCCCATTTTTCTGTATCAGAATAAAATGAGAACTAACTATACCAGAATGTTGGAGTTTTTATCTGAGTGTTCACATACAATATTTTCAATACAAATCTGTACAGTATATGAAGGGCAATGTGAAAATGGCTCATGTTGAGACCATACATTTCACAATTTGAAGGCCAAGGCCATTTGACTGTGCACAAAGGCCCATAGACAAATGACATGTAGTATGTATGTGTACACAGCTTAAATATAGCCTGAGCAGTAAAGTTACAAACTCTGGTTTGGAGGATGTGTTCATAATACAAACATAACATGCAGGTTTAAAATAAAGTGCATGTGCTGATTATCATTTGGATAGTGCATAGCATTATCTGTGTACTTAACACCCGATCCAGCTGTCAGTCTGCTGATGTTGCTTAAGATCACAGGTTGGAGGAAAGACGGATGTATTAAGGAGAAAACAGATGAGAGGATGTCAAATTACAATTTTAAGAGATGCAATAATTTTATCCTTCTAGCATCGTGATGACAGAATGACCAGCATCACTTCTGGCACAGTGAAAACTAATAGTAATGTAGAATGGCCGAGGTTTATTTTTACACAAATGCTTTCATTTTACAGTGTAGGCTAACTTCAGCATTTACATACACTGCACATTAAATGGCTTCTAAATCAACTAAAAATAATGTGTATACAAACAATAATAATTCAATACTGCTGAGTTATCATTTTAATGATTAATTATAATTTAAAAATTGGTGGATAATCATCTATGAGACTGATCTGAACACCTACATATGTTAGTGGTCTTCTGTACCAAAGCCACCCAAAATACATTCCTGTACATTTATAACAATTGGACAATAACTTCACTCTGACTGTAATATAATAATGTCCCCGTACACCAGCTGTGTCCCTCACTGTGTAAAACAGCAGAGACACAATAAGCAGAGACAATAAGAGCCATCAGAGCCACAGCTCTGAACATTTATTTCTCCATAAGTTCAATCTGTTCTGAGGAGAAATGTGATCTGACCCAAACAACCTCCAGGCTCTGATATTAGATTAGCAGGGGAGCCTAGTGTTTCAGCTAACCAAATCACAACTGGGCTAATGACACAGAGAGGTGAGGGTCAGCCTGACCTTTGACCTCTGACTTTTATCTGTGCTGCTGTGGATCCTTCACAGCGCTCGAGGAAGGAAAACGGAAGAAGGAAAAGTGGACAGAGCAGAAATCATTCTTTTCCTCACAGTCATTCCTTTCCTTTAGTGCTTCTGTCTGTAGGACTTTGACTCCTGATGGAGACAAAATGCCTGCCAGCACAGGGAAAATGTGTGTGAAGGGGGGATGCGAATGCATCCAGCAGGGACCTTTGACCTCCCTGGGGTCACTCCTCCAGAGGCAGAGATGAGATACTCCCTCAGTTAGTGGAGGCAGTCTTCCCTCTAGTGTACAACCACATTACTGTTGCACACTGTGCAGATATTTTATGCTGAACTGAAGTACACTGCTATTTTACTGACTGAACAACATTGGAAAACACAAGTGAATAATACAAACAACAAAACACTGACAATATTGACAGTAAAAAAACTGACAATAAAACCCAACCAGTCCTTGGATTTGAGAAACTGTAATGATGAGATCGTTTCCATAAAGATACACACATTCACACATCAAGTTTGTTTTTATAAATCCTGACTTTTCTGTTGGAAGTGGCACACACGTTTCAAGCCCCGTTTTGTTCGTTGAATTTAAGGCTGACAACTTGGTTTAAAGTTAAGGTAAGGGTTAGGGTTAAGCAAGTAGTGGTTATGGCTAAAGTTAGTCTAAGTCTCCAGGATTGAAAGTAAATCTGTGTAAAATCCCCATGAAGACTGAAAACAAATGGGCGTGAGCGAGAGATAAAGAGAGAAGGTGCTGAGGAGCCTAATGACATCCCCTGTCGCTGCTAGAGACATAATTACAGCACACACACAGACAGGTTTAAGTTTGTGTAAGAGAGAGAGCTCTGGTCTGGGAGGTTCTGCAGCTGTGGCACCAAGCAACGACTGTTCTTACCTGCACATCCTGAACTCTGTGTGTGTGTGTGTGTGTGTGTGTGTGTGTGTGTCAGGGCAGACTGAGGTAATGAGTCTATTGATGTGGTAACAGCCTGCTGCCAAATGATTCTGTGGCTGTCGACATCGGTCTTTTTTCTTTTCACTCCTGTGTGATAATATCATTTTAATAACCGCTAATTCGTTTAAGTTAATACTTGATCAATATGTCAGTCATTCTATGGATCCAGCGTTGCCAATGTAAATATTTCTCAATTTTACGTATATAATTTTAAACAGTCTTGGGGTATTGTTGCTCAGACAAAATGCGACATTTGATTACAGTTATTAGCCACAACATTAAACCCACTGGCAGGTAAAGTGAACAATATTGAATAACTCCTGACAGTGGTACCTGTCAAGGGGTGGGATAAATTAGGCAGCAAGTGAACAGTTCTTGAAGTTGACATGTTCAAAGGAGAAAAAACAGACAAGTGTAATGAGCAACTTTGATGACTGGGTCAGAGCATCTCCCAAACTGCAGGTGTGGTGGGGCGCTCCCAGTGTGCAGAGGTCAATACCCACCAAAAGCAGTTCAAGGAAGTGCAACCAGTGAGACGGTGACATGGTCATGGGTACCCAAGGCTTACTGATACACATGGTGAGTCAAGGCTAGTCCATCTGGTCTGACCCCAGAGAAGAGCTACTGTAGCACATATTGCTGAAAATGTAATGCTATGATAGACAGGTGTCAGAACACACAGTGCTTCACAGCTTACTGTGTAAGGGGCTGTGTAGTCACAGAATTATTTCTAAATAGGTTTTAAATTCCTATGAGAGACCAAAATCTTGTAATTTCATTCAGCTTTCTTAAAATACTGCATTTATGTCACTACCTGCTGTGATGTCGTCATCAGTGACATCCATTTCCTCCTCTGGAGCCTTGGTTTCTACTGGCTGAGCCTCAGAAGGGGGCGGGGCTGGAGGGGAGGGCTCTGTGGTCGCACCAGCTGAAGAAAGAGAGAGCAAGACAAACACTTTAGTTCATATTATATATTATCCTGTTCTGAAACATACCAACCACAAAGGTAATGATCTTATAGAGTGTGTCTCTGGGTGTGTTGTTAATAAGCTCATCACATCAGGTTTCTGTTTTGGCCTAATTATCAGGCTTACTGTCCCGGTTAAGTAGCTAATAAAGGTTTATAATGCCTCCTCTTTATCTAGAAAATAAATGGAAACACACACACACAAACAGAGAGTTACTCCCTCTATATTTAGTGTTTTCATTTAGCTCTTATCTCTCTATTGCCAATTAAGTGTGGCTTTTCATTAGTGGCCAGGGCTAATGAATGATACTGTGCTAATGAATGAAGCGACTAAAGGTAACAGAGCTGATGCTGGGCTAATCTGTGGAAACCAACCAAATTAATGAACTACACACATGCATACACACACCCACACTCCCTCATCACTTTGTCTCCCTGTGCAAGAAAACAGCCATCAGCTAAAAAAAAGGGGGAAAGCCCATTTTAGAAATTAGACAATTTGGATTTTAAAAAAAGCCTATAAAACACAAACATCATACATGAGCTCATGAGGCTGGCCTGAGTGCAATCAGAACTGTAATTACACTGTGTAATTGCACTGATTAATCCTGGTTAATTAATACTGTGCTTTATGTCCCTGTTAAACGTAATGACATAATGTAAAGCTTCATATCACATACAGCGCGTGCACACATTGCACACGCACATAAATTTTAGACTCTCACAGCAGATAAAAAAAACAACTTTGAACTGTAGTGTGCATCTTGCTAATTCTGGTCTGCATTTGTTGTTTAAGGTGGTTCATCATTCACACATAATCTGGTCAGGTCTATAAGTCAACTGTCCTGGGTGAAGGAATGAGAAAGAGAGAGATGTAGGAGCTGCGGGCAAAAAAGAGAAAAACAAGGGAGATGAAGGAGGGGCGGATGACAGGGGGAGGAGGGGAGAAGACGAAGGAGGTGTTCTGCCCTGCTCCAAGGTCAAGCTTGTCATGTCAGCCATGACACATAGCTCCCAGCATGCCTTGTTAACCCCCAGGACCTCGTCCTCTCTTCTGTCTGTTGCTTGCTTTCCTCCTCTTCTTCCTGTTCTTTAAATCTCCTCTTTTTCATTTCCTAACTGATTTGTTTTTGTTCTTTGTATGTTGTTTTTGAAACATTCACGCTGTTCAGAGGCAGCAGGAAGACCTGCCACCTGTTCGCTATCTGCCATTACTTTTCATTTTTCATCTCTTGATTCTTATATGCATTTTGTATTCTAATGCCTTATAATTTCACCAACAACTATAATATCAACTATTATATTTCAGGCTTCACTTTCATCTAGCCAGCAAAGTGAAAAAGAAGAAGGAAGGAAGGAGGGAGGTGGGTAGAAGAGTGTGCATGAAGGACAGAAGAAGGAAAAGAAGGGGACACAAAGGAAAGATGGAAAATGAAGAAGACAAAAAGGCAGGATGTGGAAACAGGGTAAAAACAAAGTAACAGTGAAAAAAACACTGATTAGAAGTAGAGGACAAAGGAAAGGAGGTCAACCAAAAAAACAATAACCCAGGGAAAGTAGGAGTAAGAGTGAGGAAGGAAGGAAGGAAGGAAGGAGAGGATATGCATGACCTCTAAAAAGTTTGGTTATCACCAACACTTTACTTTTTTAATAATCACAAAAATACAGGCACAACTGCAATGAACTATAATTATCACCTCATTAAAAAACAAATAAAAAAACCTCAACCAGACAAAGTGGGTCTTGAACCTTGGCCTCCCGAGTCCTGGCTTTCACTCATAACCACTTCACATTAGAGCCACATAATAACAGATGGGAGACCAAAACTTAAGACAAATGCTAATATAATGATCTTGGTTCTTCAAACAAAAATGTTACTTGTGGGTGAAAAACAAACAATATATTATTATTACATTATCTTATTGGGTGATCGAGGTAGAAAATAAACTAAAGACAGAGAAGAGAGAGGAAAACTGGTGACTGCTTTTCAGTGATCAAAGAAACAGCTGCTTCTCACACACAGTTTGACCCTTACAACTGTGTGTGTTCATGCATGGGGGTGAACAATGCTGGGGGCTTGTTTAATTAAGCATGTGTGAATGTGAGAGTGTGAAGTGCGTGTAAAGCCCCTCTCCATTCAAACAGCCTTGTGGCCTCTCTTTGGCTTTCATTGCTATGCCTCCTCCCTGCAGCTCTGGTAGTCTTCCACCCCAAAGATTAAAGCTTCAGGCTTGTGTTTTACTGGTCGAAACTGATGTGCAGTCTTTCTGGCTAGCACAGATATGGTCACCGTGCCCAGCTGTCGTCCACCGAGAGATATCTCTGTGTTATTTAGTGTTTTAGGTGTGTTTTGATTGATTGATTGATTGATTCTTTCAAGCATGTAAAGAAAGTTGATATATCAACACACATAATTTTACACATATCCAACAAATGCTAATCCAATATCAATTTGCTTATACCTAGTACATGCTTGAATGGAGTAGGAAGAAGTCAGACTTATCCAGTCCTACCCCATGACATCATCTTACCATCATTGGTTTGCAAGCAGTATCTCTACAAAATAATTCTCTTTCTACACCACACAAGTAATATAATAAAAAAATTATAACACTGTTAACATTCTTACATAATTACATTCTTAAATAATTATCTTCTACACCACACAAGTAATATACTATATAATTATTACAAAGTGTTAACATTCATACACCACACCCACAATGTTCCATCTAATTTATCATTAAGCCTGTTCTTGCATATATCTTGATTTGATTTGATTTGATTTATTTATTCTTTCAAACATGTAACAACAATCAATATGTAATCACACATAATTCCAGACATGTCTACAAAAATATTTTCAATTTACTTATACCTAGTACATGCTTGAATAGAGTAGGAAGAAGTTAGACTTATCTAGTCCTACCCCCTGACATCATCTTATCATCATTGGTTTGCAAGCAGTATTACTACATGGATACATATTCTACATCCACACTCCCATATGATTAATCATTGTTCTTGCCCATATCTTGATTGACACATACCTTTATATCTGTGTTTAA